CGATTCCGGTCAAGGGCATGTACCTGGGTTGCGGGCGCATCCCCAGTGGGAGATGTGCAGGAGGCAGCTGATCGATGTTTCTCTCTCATCGATGTTTCCAATTCTCTATCTCTCTCCCTTCCTCTCTGGAAAAAATCAATAAAATATATTTAAAAAAAAAAGATCATTATATCATGATGAAGGGGTTAATTCAAATACATATATGCTTTTTATTTTTCTTGCCTACTTGCTCTGGCTAGTACTTCTAATACAGTGTTAAATAACATTGGTGAGAATGGGCATCCTGGTCTTGTTCCTGATCTCAGAGGAAAAGCTTTCAGTTTTCACTTTTAAGTATATCAGCTGTTGACTTGTCATATATGGCTTATATTATGTTGAGATATATTCCCTCTATACATACTTGGTTGAGAGTTATAATGGATGTTGAATTTTCTCTAATGCTTGTACTGCATATGTTGAGATGATCATATGATGTTTATCCTTAATTTTAATATGGATTATCACTTTGTTGTTTTCAAATGTTGAACCATCCTTGCATCCCTGGAATAATCCTTGGAATACACCATGATATTGATCCTTTTGATATACTAATATTCAATTAAATTTGCTAATATTTTGTTGAGGAATTTTGCAATTATGATCATCATGGATACTGTCCTATATACGTATATTTTTTCATAGTGTCCTTGTCTAGTTTTGGTGTCAGGGTAATGCAGACTATGAAATAAGTTTGCAAGTGTTCTCTCCTTTTTGAAAAATAGTTTGATAATGGTTTATATTAATTCTTCTTTAAATGTTCGGTACAATTCACTTGTAATGCCTTTTGGTCCTGGGCTATTGTTTTTTGGGAGATTTTTTTTCCTTCAATTTCATTGCTAGTGATTGGCCTGTTCAGATTATCTGTTTCTTCCTGGTTCAGTCTTGGATGGTTATATGTTTCTAGAAATTTATCCATTTGTTCTAGGTTGTCCAATTTGTTTCATGGTCTTCTTTAATGATCCTTCGTATTTCTGTGGTATCAGTTGAAATATCTCCTTTTTTTCATTTCTGATTTTATTTATTTGGGCTCTCTTTCTTTTAGATTTGCCTGGCTAGAGGTTTGTAAATTTTATTTATCCTTTTAGAGAAGCCAGCTCTTAGTTTCACTGATTATTTTTCCTATTTTTTAGTCTCTGTTTCATTTATTTTCACTCTGATCTTTATTATTTTCTTTATTTTACTTACTTTGGTGTTTGTTTATTCTTCTTTTTCTGTTTCCTTTAGTTGGAAAGTTATATTGTTCTTTGGGATTTTTCTCATTTCTTGAGGTAGGCCTGTATAGCTATGAACTTTCCTCTTAGAACTGCTTTTGCTGCATTCCATACATTTTGGAATGTTGTGTTCTCATTGTTATTTGTCTCAAGGTGGTTTTTGATATTCTGTTTGATTTCTTTTTTGATACATTGGTGTTTAGTAGGATGTTGTTTATTCCCCATGGATTTGTATTTTTTCAATTTCCTTTCTATAGTGGATTTCTAGTTTCCTGCCATTGTGGTTAGAAAAATGCTTCATATAATTTCAGCCTTCCTGAATTTATTGAGGTTTGTTCTGAGACCTAATGTATAGTCTCTTTTGTGGGAGAAATAATGGCTGAGGGCATCTTAGCTCTGAGCTGTGCTGCTTTTGGGGAATGGTGACATGACTACATTGAAACTATTCTTACCTTCTTTGGCGCATCTGTTCTTGGATTTAAAATATGTATATATTTTTATTGATTTCAGAGAGGAAAGGAGAGGGAGAGAGGTAGAAACATCAATGATGAGAGAGAATCATTGATTGGCTGCTTCCTGCACACCCCCTACTGGATCAAGCTACTACTAGGCATTTGCTCTTGACCGGAATCAAGCCCAGGACCCCTCAGACTGCAGGCAGATGCTCTATCCACTGAGCTGAACTGGCTAGAGCTATTCTTGGATTTTTTTCTCACCCCAGTGAGGCACTGTGACCTTTCCTCTGGACTCTTGGACTCTCACAAAGTTATTCTCATTGGTGGGTGGTTGCTATAATCTTTGTTTCTGTGGGGACATGGTGGCTGAAAACTCTGCCATCTTGCTTATGCCAATCCATAAGATTAATACTAATACATTATCTCCACTTGCTTGTAATTTACAAGGGAACAAAAGGTGGGTGGGTGGGAGTGATTCAAAGTAACACATAAAACCAAATTAAAGAAGTGGTAATTAGAAGTGGGAAGGCAAAGTTAGGCACACTTAAATTCATATAAAGAGGTTTAAAACATTCCAGGTTATGGAATCAATAAGATTAAATAATTTCTGGTTATTTTAAAAAAGGATGCACTTACATATAAAGTGTATGTATGCTCATAGTAGGAACTATAGCTGAACCTTTGAAGGAGGTTAAGGATATCAGAAACATTGAAGAAGTAAAACATTAGATCTTGACAACTGATTTGATGTGGAGACTAGGTGGTGGGCAATATTAAGTAAAAACTATTCTTAGTCCAGCTCATCAAAGGTATGCATAGATTTTTTTTTTTTGGTGGTGGTGGGGCGGGGAGTTACCTAAATAGAGAACTATCTTGGATGAAGAAAGATTGTAAACAATATTGGAATGTAAAGCCAAGGTTGGGTGTTAGGAGCAAATACTTGAAAACAAGTGCTGGAGGGGTTAGGTATAAATAATAGCAGAGAGACATAATAAGGCAGCAGTGGATACACCATGCAGTTGTGAAGAAAAGTGCAGTTGACACCAAAGGGGCACTTCACATTGAGAATTGAATACCAACCTTGTTTACATATATCCTGGAATGTTTGTTTTGATTGGGGCTCTAAAGATGACATTTATGTTTGGAGCTTCTATACCTTGTGTTTGAGAGTATGGATCTGGATTCAGATTGTCTACATTCCAGTCCTTTAGTGGCACTTATCATTTGTGCTACATTGAGAACGTTACCATATTTATCATCTGATGTTTGATTTTTTTAAGTGGGGATAAAAATAATATAAAATAATATATTTCA